GCTCAGATGCATTCCCTTCTTAGGCGTGATTGGACGGACGACATTAATCATGATGAATGACCCAAATTCGTCCACGCAATCAGCCTAAACAGGCAATAATAGAACGACTCTGCTCGCTCTACATCGACGCGAATGGACGACTCAGATCGACGCGAGATAAGTATATAAATATCCCATCATAGGGGAACTCTAATCCTAGCAGCACTTGCCCTCGCCAGAGAAGAAGGACTAGTCACCGGAGAAGGAGATCGACCACTGGCTGCTGCCGCACCAGAGCCACCACCGACTGTCAAAAAAAGTAAAATTTTCTCCTACTCACTCAAAATTCAGTTCCGAGTCTCCCTGTGACCATATCAGAGAAAAAGGGATGATGGGTTAGTCAAAACTGCGGGTAAATTATGGCAAAGCCGTCGTGGCCGAAACCCCTCCATTGAACCCTTTTTCGTTTTCCATTTTACATGATTTTTTAACTATTGTGTTCACTGTCTTTTTTTGTACAGGTTAGTCGAAGGAGAAACCCTAGCCATAAAAGAGAACCAGCAAAGCCGTCGCACCCGAAGACCCCTCTGCGAGTAAGTTTGATTTTTTTTTTATTTTCTGGCCAATCGAGGCCCCTTAACGTATTTTTCTGTAGGGATAACTTGAAAACTAGCAAAAATTGGTTAGGCCGAGACGAACCGCCGCCATATTGAAACCCTAAAATCGGCTAGAAAGGGTTTTCAACACTGATTTTAATTTTTGGGATATTTTTAGGTACGTGATAAGTATTTTGATTCATACAATAAAAATTCAAGAAACTCAGGACCCGTTAGGAGGCGTAGTAGATGGCACAACGTTTTGAAACATCGATCTGAGTAAGAATTCCTTCCTCTATTCTCTGTTACAATAAATTGATGATTAATAACTGATAATTATATATTTTTTAAAAAAAATAGAACAATCTTAAAAATATTATAAGTCATTAGTGAAGGCAGAACCAGTTAGTATAAATTTATCCTATGTTCCCTATTTATTTTTCTGTACTGTCTAAATTGCTTACTATTATATTGTGTATGTTTAGATTGATAGTTTTATTGTCGTTTCGATTATCTTGTTTATTTATTTCTTTCTGCATTGTTCATTTGGTTATCTAGTTACCCGATTATTGGTTATGATAAACTATATCGCTTGCTTAAATGCCGTTTAAATTGATCAGTGAAAATGAAATGTGACGTTGATATGTTTTGGTGGTTGTTTGGATGATGATAATCTAAATAAATGAAAGCTTTCTGGGCATCCTGGAAATGGTGGACGAACCTAGTACATAAGAAACCCTACTGTAAACATACTGGAAGGATTTTGGGAGATATGATTCACTCTCATACCGGACGAATTATTGAGGCGATGGTAGTTTTGGGTGCCCATTACCGAATGGAGTATAGAGACGGTTGAGTTAATTGTTTATTTTGATATTGGATCCACAAGAAGATGGATATCCCTATGGACCCCTAGAGGTCCCAGTAAGTAAGTTAAAAAGGAAAGATTGTTGATCCTATGTATGAAATTGAAATGTCATTTGTTAATTGTCTTCATATGAAACTTGTAAACGGTAAGTATGGAATAAAATATTTTAGAGTCAAAAGTATTTACTTAAATCAAGGGCTCCATTAGTTATTTTATGATTTTTACCGACATTTGGTTTTCTGTATCAGCAATTAGTGTGATATTCTTATTAGACTAGTGTAACTCATCCTTTTATTAATCATTTCAGATCAAGAAAATCAAGATATAAATCCCGATCAACAAGAAGGTTGTGAGTAGTTTATCTCCTGAACTCCCTTCAAGTGTTAGTGAACATTAACCCCTAAGATATGTATTTATTTATTTTTAATTACCATTTGTCTTTTCATGAACATATATAGAAAAGACATTCTCGTAACTCTATTAGGTATTCCAATTTACTGTGTAAGAAATGTAAACCTAACTTTATTATTCACTTTCGCATTAAAGATATAAATTCATTTTCTTTAAGGTACTAGGCTTTTATATAACGTGTATATTCCTGTGCCTATTTCTAAGTCCAAAAATTAATATAAAATGTAAAATATTTTAGTGTTCAACCAAATTAGTGTTCAACCAAATTAGTGTTCAACCAAATGTATCCAGAAGATGTCCATATATACATATATACGGTGTATTATCCAAATAGAATAGACTTGACAAATACATTACTTGTAACAACCTGATAAAGAAAAAAAATAAAAAGAGAAGGAAATAGGACTAAACTGGGAATATTTTTAATAGAAAAAATGGAATCAATGGTTCAGATTCGTTTTGGAGATTAGACAGTTCTAGGACACCATATTTAGGCTTCCTTTTTCCTACCTATTTAGGCAGAAGAAACCCTAAAGGAAAATAGGGGGAGGTGAGGTGAAACAGAGGTCGGGAGAGGGGAGAAAAAGAATGAAAGTAGTAAATGAAGGAGAAGAAAAGGAAGAAGAAATGACAGTGAAGGAAAAAGAAGAGAAAGAAGATCAGCGTGCGCGACCAAAAAGTTTCGTGTGGTACGCCTTGTGTACGGGCAAATGAAAAGAGAGGAGAAGTAGGATTTGAGCGACCAAGGAAGAGTGGTGCGGCAAAAGTTCGGAAGCAAAAAATCACTTCGACGTACGAGCTTCGACGCGAAAAGAGCTTAGGGAGAAGAGAAATCGTCACCAGGATCCTATATCATCTTTGTACACACTGATTAAGTCCAATCTGCTCCTCATAACTTGGATTAGAAATTATATACTAAAGTCTTGGCATGGTACATTAGGAAACAATGCGAGAGGAGGGAGGGGGGGGGGGGGGGGCTGCATGTAATGCATATCTGGTGGTTATGTTCAGGTTTAATGGTGTAATATATTATTATTGTGCGTGTGTGTGTGGCCAATAGTAGGCTGGTGCGTGTGTGTTAGTGGTCGGGAGAAGGCTGAGGTGTGTGGCCAAGGGAAGGCCGGTGTGTGTGTGTGTGTGTGGCGAAGGAAAGATAGGTTTGTATGTGTGTGGCTAAGGGAAGGCTGATGTGTTTATATGGCAGTGTACTGCCGATGTTGGTGTGGCCAGGGGAAGGCCGGTGTGTGTGCATGATTGTGTGCTGCCAGTGTGTTTATGGCCAAAGGAGGGTTGATGTGTGTGTGTGGCTGTATATTGCCAGTGTGTGTCCCTGAGTAAAGGCCAGTGTGTGTGGTTGGGTGAAGTCGATGGTGGAGTGACAGAAATTGAGTGTGAGTATGTGTGGTTACCTAAGGCCGATGAGGGGGTGTGTATGGCTGAAAGGCTAGGATGTGTGTGTGGCCAAGTCAGGGTCGTTGTGATGTTAGTGTGTGTGTGTGTGTGTGGCCGAGTGAGGGTCGTTATGATGTTAATGTGTGTGTGTATGGCCGAGTGAGGGTCGTTGGGGTGTTATTGTGTGTGTGTGGCCGAGTGAGGACCGTTGTGGTGTGTTAGTGTATATGTATGGCCGAGTGAGGGCCGTTGGGGTATGTTAGTGTGTGTGTGTGTGTATGGCTGAGTGAAGGTCAGTGTGTACATGTGTTATATGGTTAAACTGCTTTAGTAGTATATTAATTAGGATTACTATTATTGTGTTTTCTGCTGGGTCATGGTGAGTAACCGGTGTGGATATTCTGGGGTCGATGCGGTTGGCATGATTCTGCATGTGTGTAAGGTCAAAGTATTTTGTATACAGGCGTAGAGTATTGTATGAATGTCATAGATTGTGAAATATGGGCTGGTTAGGTCTTTGTAGGTATAGGAGATAGACTAATTAGTATGGTTAATTAGTTAAAAAAAGGGATAGAGACATTTAAGTTAGAGTGCTTAATAGGAACAGGACAAGTTTATGCAAGAAGGAGACTTGGGGATAATGGAGGGGGTGTTTGGGACTATAAGTAGATAGGTTAGAGTAAATTTATAGAAGCTGAACATAACTCTAAAACAAAATAAAAGAGGGCTGAAGGGTATAAAAGAGTACTTAGGAAACCTATTAGACGAGTTAGGAATCCCAGTGAAAGGATAACAAACTTTTGTTTTATGGAAACAAAGTTAACAAGGAAATTAAATGAGCACTGGATTGTACCACCACATTTAGTTGTAATATGTTTTTTTTTTTAATCTTTTGGTGTGATGTGCATATTGTACTTATTAGGCGATGTAACTCATTATGTTGTAAATTTCAGAGCAAGTAAAATGGAAAACAAGAATTGGAAAAACAAGAATCATGCTACCAAACTTAAGCATTTACAAGGACCTTCTTCGTCATTACTTAGGTCAAATAATTAAGAGTTAGTTACAGGATATAATTGATATTATTGTGTAGGAGAAAATACTTGTACATTCAGTCTCTGCTTTAGTTAAAAAGGTTTTTTTGTATTATTTCTTACAAAGATAGCTTAATAGAAACGTGAAGTATAAATATATATATATATATTTACTTAATTAAAAATATATGAAATAAATATTATTGGAATAATATTTATGAATAAGAATGATATTTTTAATCTCTCTTATAAATAGCATTATGAACTATAGTAATTAAATGAAAGGGTACCGGTTGTTACATTACCTGCATTTAAAATTTGACTTCATTCCATGAATTTTTACAGAATTTTGAGAACTTCTGCCATTACTTTACAAACATGGACTTGAGACAGTTAAAGTAATTAAAAGCATCTACTGACACGTGGAGGTAATTTAAATAATGCAGTTTAATATGATGCGACCATCACCTACTTATATATATATGATATATATGATTTGTTAGAAAATTAATAATTAATTTAAATTTATTACTCAATACGTATAAATAAATATTACAATAATTTTTTTTTTGTATTTTTAATAGAAAAATGACTATAATTCACAATTTATTTACAATTATTAGACTTTAATAGGCACTATAATTTGATAAATTAAAAAAACTTGCTTTTTTTTGTTAAGAGAATTCATCCTAATATAATAATAATAATAAATAGGATGAAGAGACAATAAAACTGCAATCCTACTTCAGTTATGGCTTTGATCATGTTAAGTTGCTTTCACACCTGCGGTTGCGACTAGCGAGAGGAACATAATTTCCGTACCGCAAAACCAGCATGCTCAAAGATGCTGTTGAAAAAACCAGGTAACTTGACTCTATTGCTTTGTAATTGAACGGAGGATACTCAAGTAGATTGAATATTTCGATTTTCTTTTATATTCAATTTGAGGGAATGCATTAACTAAATCCCAAATTATTGCTTGCAGTTGCAGGAGTAACACTTCGTTTGGGGACAAACGGTTCGAGCATTTTTTTTATTGCCAAGAAGCTGTTATCATCATCCAACGGGCCTTTTACTGAGTTGTCTGGCCGACATGATCGTTTTGGGGAGGTGGATAACCAAGAAAATTCAAGAAAAGTTGAGAACGCAAGGCAAAGAGTAGACGAAATATGCCGTATCTTGGAAAGTAGTCGTTGGGGGATTGAAGTGGAAGATGCCTTATCGGTGTTCGACGAAAAGCCTCAACCAGAATTTGTAATTGGAGTGTTGAGGAGGTTGAAAGATGTTACTGGAGCAATTAATTATTTTCGATGGGCTGAAAGAGTAACTGATCAACCACATTGTCCTGAAGCATACAATGCGTTGATTATGGTCATGATCCGTAATAAAAATTTTGATTGTCTGGAACAGATTCTTGGAGAAATGAGTGTTGCAGGATTTGGTCCTTCTAATCACGCGTGTATTGAATTGATTGTGAGCTGTGTTAAATCACGTAAACTGAGAGAAGCTTTTGATATCATACAAACTATGAGGAAGTTTAAGTTGCGGCCTGCATTTTCAGCTTATACCACTCTAATTGGTGCTCTATCTGCGGTTAATGAGTCTGATCTAATGCTCACTCTGTTTCATCAAATGCAGGAGCTGGGTTATGAAGTAAGCATTCATTTGTTTACAACTCTCATCCGGGTCTTTGCCAAGGATGGCCGGGTTGATGCTGCTTTATCCTTGTTGGAGGAGATGAAAAGCAATTCTTTTGATGCTGATATTGTTCTTTATAATGTATGTATAGACTGTTTCGGTAAGGTGGGTAAGTTGGATATGGCATGGAAATTTTTCCATGAGATGAAAGCACAAGGTTTGGTTCCTGATGATGTTACTTATACAAGCATGATAGGAGTTCTCTGTAAAGCTAACATGCTGGACGAAGCTGTGGAAATATTTGAGCAGATGGAACACAACAGGAAGGTACCCTGTGCGTATGCATACAACACCATGATTATGGGTTATGGGTTGGCTGGAAAGTTTGATGAAGCATATAATTTACTAGAGAGACAGAAAGCAAAGGGTTGCATTCCAAGTGTCATTGCATATAACGGCATTCTTACATGCCTAAGGAAGAAGGGGAGAGTAGATGAGGCATTGAGAATATTTGAGGAGATGAAGAGAGATGCAGTGCCCAATGTTTCGACCTATAATATTCTTATTGACATGCTCTGCAAAGTTGGAAATCTTGATATTGCCTTCCAGATTCGAGATGCCATGAGAGAAGCTGGGTTATTTCCTAATATTAGGACTATAAACATTATGGTTGATCGACTTTGTAAAGCTCAAAAACTTGATGAAGCTTGTTCTTTGTTTGAAGGAATGGATCACAAAGTTTGCGCCCCAGATGAAGTTACATTTTGCTCACTTATAGATGGCTTAGGCAAGCATGGTAGGGTGGATGATGCTTATAGGCTTTATGAAAAGATGTTGGATTCTGATCATAATCCAAGCGCTGTTGTGTATACATCCCTGATTAGGAACTTCTTTACTTCTGGTAGGAAGGAGGATGGTCACAAGATATGTAAGGAAATGCTTAATAGAGGCTGTTCTCCTGACCTGACGCTTCTTAATACTTATATGGATTGTGTTTTCAAAGCTGGAGAAACCGAGAAGGGCAGGGCCTTGTTTGAGGAAATAAAGGCTTATGGATATATCCCGGATGTACGAAGCTATTCAATCCTAATTCATGGCCTTGTCAAAGCGGGTTTTGCACAAGAAACCTATGAGTTGTATTATGCAATGAAAGAGCAAGGCTTTGTTTTGGACACTCGTGCATACAACACGGTTATTGATGGATTCTGCAAATCTGGCAAAGTGAACAAAGCTTACCAACTGCTTGAGGAAATGAAAACGAATGGTCACCAACCAACCGTTGTTACATATGGCTCTGTCATCGATGGACTTGCTAAAATTGATAGGCTTGATGAAGCATATATGCTGTTTGAAGAAGCAAAGTCACAGGGCATAGAGTTGAATGTAGTTATCTATAGCAGTCTTATTGATGGGTTTGGGAAGGTAGGTAGAATTGATGAAGCTTATCTAATAATGGAAGAGTTGATGCAGAAAGGCTTGACACCTAATGTATATACATGGAATTGCTTGCTTGATGCGCTGGTAAAAGCAGAGGAAATTAATGAGGCCATTGTCTGTTTCCAGTCCATGAAAGATTTGCGGTGCACACCCAACATTGTAACTTACAGCATTCTCATAAATGGGCTTTGTAATGTTAGAAAATTTAACAAAGCCTTTGTGTATTGGCAAGAGATGCAAAAACAAGGGTTGAAACCCAATACAATCACATACACCACCATGATATCAGGGCTTGCAAAGGTTGGAAACATTGTAGAGGCTAGTGGGCTATTTGAAAGATTTAAGGCAAATGGGGGTATTCCTGATTCTGCTAGCTATAATGCTATGATTGAAGGGTTAAGTCATGCAAATAGGGCAATGGATGCATTCACTCTTTTTGAGGAAACTCGATTGAAAGGTCTTAAGATTCATACCAAAACTTGCATTGTTCTTTTAGATGCATTGCATAAGGCAGAATATCTGGAGCAGGCAGCAATTGTGGGGGCTGTCTTGAGGGAAAGAGCAAAGTCTCAGCATGCTGCAAGATCTTGGTAGCTCCTGGTGTTTTTCAAAGTATTGAGGGATCGGTTGGTGACGCTCTTAGGTTTGATCTTTCTGATAGAGCAATGTGTGCAATGACAATATATCGGTGGAATCTCTGTCTGCTTCAATTTTCATCGGGGTTAATTAGCTCTAAAAGAGGTATTTTTTATCTTTTGAAATTTCTGGGAGTTTTTAGAAGGCAGAAACCTAATGAATCTGGGTTATTTATGGAAGTGCACACAATTTTGCATGTTGAAGTATTTTTTAAAAGGCTTGCTCTCATTTGTTAGCATTTAACCATATATATGCTGAGCTGGCTACCATTTGGTTTTCCAAGCACAATAGTAAATTGAATTTTAAGACAATTTCTAGATACTGAAATAGCATTCTCATTTTTCAGTCCCACCAAGTATCAACCAAGGTTTCTATGGATCCACCTTTTTCCCATTTCCTCACATGTGAAAAACAGAGCTATCTTCAACTGGTGATTTGTTCATGCAGGCATTGTAATGGTCAAATTACATCGGTTCCTCTTATGTGTCTGGCCCAACATTTATGGACTCGTCTAGTGGTCTTCTTCCAGTTTGCTGCTTTTAGCACCCGGAATACATAAGCATTGAGAATTAGATGCTTCTTCATCCTTTGATGCAGAGATTTATTTGTCATTCTCATTCAGAAGACAATTCTAGCCTCCATTTGGTACACCATTGTGCTCATTTTTGTCAGATTCCTTTAGCCTTTTGGCTTGTGACTAGGTATTGTTAGGTACTTAATGGAGGTTGTTGTCCTTACACATTGATGATTTTAATAATTTGGGTCATTTTCTTTGTTCTCTGAAAGGAAAAGGCAACTGGGAGCCGGTAAATTATTCTAGTTCGCTGAAAAAATAAAGAACCGACGAAGTCCTTTTTGAGAGCTCTCAAGATTGATATGGCATGGGACCATCCGAAACAAGTCTGCATATGAAGATATAAACTCCCAACTCTCTTGGACTAGTAAGGTGAAGACCAAAATGGTTTTCCCCTAGAAGATCGCTAGCCATGAACGATGCCAAGAAATGTATTTCGTAGTTGTCGAAACTAAAAAAAAAAAAAAAGTACAATTACGTGTATGTAAAATAAAAGTTGTTTTATTTTTTAGAAGTAATTTGTAATGTTGGGGATGAATAATATTTTTAAGGAGTATATTTATTAAGTTTTTGTTTTATTATTTGACAATTTTTAAATAAAATGTAATATTAATTTATTGTCAATAAAATTATATTTAATTTAAATTATTTTAAATAGTATTTATTTTAAAATTACACAATAATAATTTATAATTCATTTTTTTATTAAGTAGATAAATAAAATAGTTTAGAATAATTTAAATTGTTAGACTATTTTTTAAAGTAATATTATCTAAGTAATAGTTTTTTTTTAAACTTAAAAAAATTGAATAAAATTTAGAAAAAGTTTTAACAACTTGTAATAAAATTTTATAAATAAATAGTTATAATAAGTTAATTTTTTTTTATGTTGTTTAAGGTAAAAACATTATAATGCTTTATAAAATTTATTATAAAAATATTTCTAATACAAAATATAATATTATATTTAAATTTTTTATTATTACATAATAAATGATCTGTATTTAATGAAATAAAAAATATTAATTTATGTACATGTTAAACTAATACAATTGTGATAAGTTTGACAAATCATATAGTAAATATTACCAATAAGAGATATATGACCGTTAAAGCCAAACTCCAACGTCTCTTTTGACCTTAAGTTTAAAATTTAAAATTTTGAAAGCCGAACAAGACATTCTCTTTTCCTTTTGCAAATCGCTTTGATCTTCAACCCTTTTAAATTAAACTTTCTATCGACTTTTTTCAATCCAACTTCTTGAATCTGCATTCTTCTTGAATCTGCTATCAATCTTCCTCCTGAGAAAATGGCATTGAGACCCATCGACAATGCTCTCCCAACAACACTCGAGAGGCCCAAAAAGCAACCTAAAGTATCAAATGCGATCCAGAAACAACCGGAGACCGGCGTGAATAACGAGAATCAGGCTCCCTTACCGACATCTATAGATGCCACCATTGATTATATCTCTTCAGAGAATCTGAAACCGATTTCAGACCCTGAGTTTAAGATCCAGGTACTTTTCTCTTTCCTGTGAGTGTCTATGTTCGTTTTCTCTATGAATAACAATTTTTTTATTGGATTTCTTCAGAGTTTAGTTGAAGGTTTAGATTCAAAGGACTGGATGAAGGTTTGTGAGTCACTGAATGATGTTAGGCGGTTCGCGCTGTATCATTCCTCACTCTTGCTCCCGATCTTGTAAGATTTTTTTTTTGGTTGTATTTTTCCCCGAAAATTGCTTCTTCTTTTTAGTTTTTCTTTTTTCCCCTATTTCCATTTGCCGATTTGATATTCGATATTTGCAGAGAGAAAGTCATGTCTGTGGTTCTAAAGGCAATGAAGAACCCTAGAAGTGCATTGTGCAAGACCTCCATCATGACATCGTCAGACATTTTCAATGCATTCGGCGAAACTTTACTGGAATTGCCCAATTCCAATGCATTTGAGAGTTTGGTAAGTATCCAAATTTTCTTTTAAAAAAAGATCCTTGTATGTCGATTTAGTGGAATTATTCTTGTAACTGGAGAATTTTACAGGAAGTTTGAGCTCAAAATATTAATTGCAAACATTAATTATTTAGCTATTAGATTTTATTTAATCATAATTTACATGTTTATGCATACTCGAATCACTCTACTCAATCATTCTACTCGCCAATAAAACTACAAAAATATCTAATTTTTGTTAAATGTATAACTTATAGAATATTTTTATTTGTTTTATTTTATGATTTCTCATTGAATCGAGATTTGAATTCTCCTGCGCATCATGTAGTCCTTTTGTTCTTAACATTTGAATTGTGTTGATCGCCAACAGCTGCTGCAGCTACTGCTGAAAGCATCTCAGGACAAACGGTTTGTCTGCGAAGAAGCAGACAGGGCTTTGAATTCAATGGTGAAATCCATGGCTCCACTCCTTCTTCTCCATAAACTCCACACATATGTTAGCCACGGCAATCTCAGAATCAGGGCCAAGGCTGCCATCTCGATCTCCCTTTGTATCTCTAGAATGGTATGTACTACTGGGAATTTGCAGCTTTAGTTTCCTTGTTTCTATTGGTTGCTTGTACTGTGAAGAAGCTGCTAATGATTTGTTGGATGTTTCCATGATGCCTGACTATTTCAGGGGCCCGAAGAAATGCTGGAATTTGGATTTGTTTCTCTGGTCCAAATCACCGTGAATTTGTTGAATGATAGACTGCCAGAGGCTACAGAAGCTGCAAGAAGCATTGCAACCACCATATACCACAGCTTTACAGAGAAGGAAGAACAGAAACATGATGTATGGCAGAATTTCTGCCAGGCTAATCTACCAGCCATTCATGCTCAGTCCATGGTCAAAATTGTTTCCTCCCAGTTGAATTTGGAGCGGCAGTGATTAATGGTGATAGATAACAGCTGAAGATGAAAAAGGGGTCAGTTATATTAGGAGGTCAAACATGTTTAGTAACTCTGTGTTGCATGTAATTGCCCTTTACATGAAAGATAAGGTGATGTGTTAAATTTTAATCAAACTTTCTACAGGATTGATCTTAATTCTCAGTTTGCCAAATTTGATGACACTGAATTGTTGTGTGAGGCATTGCTATCATAAAGCTCATGATTAGAACATTGATTTTAGGCAAGTACTATTTTAGCCCTTTATCCTTCAGCCATTGCTAATGATTTAAAAGCTCCAATCAAGCTTGATTTTATGCTATTGAATTTAGAAGTAGGTCGGATTTCATAGAACTTGCAATAATATAAGCACCAATGTTTTGACTGCTCTCACTTAAAATTTAATATCTAACTGATGATAAATTAAATTTCAAAATTGATATTGTAAACTCGAGACTACGGTATCATTCTCCTTAACAAATATTTCGAGACTGTAGCATGACCAAAAGAACGAAGCCTTCTATTTAATGTCAATAGCCGAAAGATATTTCAGCAGTAAACAGTGTCCAAAATTCCTAAAAAGGCACCAACCAATACTTTCCGCAGCTTGTTACAGGCCATACTGAATGTGGCAAAAGGAATCTGCCATAGCTTCTAGCTTCACATTGCAGCAAGAAGAGCAACTGCTCGTTACAGGCAATACTTTTGCAACTTCAGATCCATCTCCACAACAATTGTAAAAATCAAACTGAATGTGGCAAAGGAATCTGCCATAGCTTCTAGCTTCACATTGCGGCAAGAAGTTACCCTGTGTAGTGCTTTAGCTGGTCCAGTATTTATCTGCAAAGGTTATCTCCAGCATGGTACTTTCCCAGTTAGTCTCTCTTAGTCACTTTTATATATATCTCAGGTATATGCTGTTTCATTTTCAATCAAAGAGTGCAAAGCCATCTCAACATCCTCAAAAGGCTGTCCAGCATAAAGCTTAAGTTGCCTTTTCCTAATGACAATCACTTTCTTGCTATCTGATTTCACTGCTTGATGAAGATCCTGCAAAAATTTAAATCCATCTTTATTTTTTGGTTGGCAATAAAAAGGCATGTATTTCTTAAGGACTAACAAAGTGCTGCAGCAAGATAATATTCAAAATATTTTCATGTACAATAAAAAAAAAATTCTTACCTTTGTTGATAAAGGAACAATATCTGCTGAGAAATCAGCTAGATCTTCAAAAAAAGATTCAAGTAGATAGCAAAAGTTATTTGCATCAATGCGGTCCTCAAAAGTAATTGTATAAGAACTTTCATTCTGATCTTGTGCATGAGAATGAACTCTTAATGTAAAAAGTCCTCCTGGTTCTTCATGCTCAAGACCTCTACGCATAAGAATTGCCTGGAAAAAAATGGGATATCAAAATGCTTATTAGACATTAAAAAAATTGGATATAAACAAAGCGATACTTTTTCTCAAATGAGGATCAGAGAAAGAGCTAAGCATAGAGTAGAAAATTAATGAATGTCTTAAAAGAGCTAGGTGTTTCAATACCCAGATGGAACAAAGGACTTTGGACTTAAGAGACAAAAATCCATGCTTGGTATCGTGCAAATATAAATATGGCAATCAAAAAGCCAGCTATCGATAGCAGCTTTTCTGTTAAAACTAGGAAATCCATGACAAAGGCAAATGAAAGAACATACAAAGAATAAATAAGACAATAATTCTATTTAATTTTTAAGAAATATCACTTATGATTGAGAATTCTGAGCCACCATTAACTGAGTCAATAACGAAAACAGGTTTACCTTACCCGTTACCAAAAAATAATATTCTACCAACCTGTGTTAACATACTACCAAGACCATCAATAGCAAATAGATTACAGAAAGTTGCAGCGACATACAAGAACATACGGTAGATTCAGCCACCACAAATTAGTTTCTGCATCTGACTTCTTATTTCCTACTTTGTCGGCTGGTGATTGGTTACTAACTTCTCTGTCCTTTGACTTGCCATTTCTGACAAATAAATAATTCATATGTGATTCAGCAGTATTTTCCATGTTTGTTTTGTGAAATTTTGTACATTTTGTCTCTCAAACTCTTACATTATTCTTGACTTGGGAGCTTCCTCTGAAGACATTCCTCGACTACTCTCCTGAACAGTACCTAAATTTTTTTTTGAAATAAAAAGTGTGAAATTCTATTAACATGGTACCAAACAATCGGGGGTACTGCCCCTATACAAAAGCTCTACAATATAATTAGCAAATCAATGACATGTCCAAAATCCACATCACTAATCATGTGGACCTAAATTTTAACAAATGAGCAAGGACTTTATAGGCTATATCAACAAAAATACATACATAAAAACAAAAATCTCAGTTAATGCAGCTGACTCGAAATATTCAACTACAACACTGTATTTTCAGATCCTTCACTGTCATTTTTGCATCAAAACATCCCTACATATATTTATTCCAGTAACTAGCATTCTCTTGTGAATCAGAGCTTGATAAAAAAGAAACATGTTGAAAAACAAGGATGCCGGAAACTACGAGCCCCATCCAATATTGGACTAAAATATGTAAATAAATCATGCATATGTCATTTAGGAACATTACCAAGCCTCATGTCAGGATCCGCAGCTTCTATTTTTCTTGACTTCTTCCCAAGCTTCCTCCCATCTGTTGATGAGACCTTTAGATCTCTGCCTGGTCCTTTCTTTGCACTATCCATTTCCATGTTCCGTGAAACACCTTCCAGTAAATCACCATCCTGACTAACATTTTCCCTTCTCTGTACTTGATCAATACCAGCTAGATCGGTCTGCTTATTCTTACCTTCCCTACCAGGAAAACCCTTCACAGCACTTCTTGAGTTCATGGCAGGGCTCTTAAACTTAAACTTTTTCTTAAAAATTAAAGTTTTATCATCCTCTTTTCCATTCAAATTATCCATTCTATCTCCATCTTCACCTCCACCCTTGTCCAAATACTTCGTATCTAATCCTTGCAATTTCCCTCTCTTAGAATGCAGCCTCTTCTCCAGGTTAACCAATCTAGCACCAATCTCCTTTTCGATGCCAATTCTATCCTTGGAATCCAGAATTTCATCAACAGTATCATCTTCCCTATTGCCATCCCTTAATTCCTTTTCCTCAATCTTTCTTGCCTCTCTTGCCATTGTCCTAATTTCTTTAATTTTCTCTTCCAAGTCGTGCTCATCCAAACCAATTGCATTCCTTAGCTTAGAGTCAACCTTTTCATTTAAAAACCCCTCATTTTTACTCAGCAAAAACTTCCCTTTTCTTTTCTCACTAACACCCATATCCAAGCCACTCAAATTGCTGCCTTTCGCATTTGAATTTGTACTTCCCAGAACCCAGACAGCACAAATAGTTTGAAAAGCGAAAAGCCCAACTAAATACAAACCATATTTCAGTATAGAATTTGCAGACACTTTCCCAACCATGCCACTGTACTCTCCGCCACCGCCCGAGCTAGCAGATACATGAAATTCATCGACTGAGATGAGTTCATCAGATGGGGAGCCAACAGTTACGTCGTTCTGAGCTGGGGTTTCAGGGGAAATGAATGGAACCACAGGGTTTGGTGAAGGCTCTTCGGTAAGGATAGGTGTAAGCGGGGTAGGGAGGGGTTTAATCAAGGGTTTGAGGATTTTGGGACGCAGATAGTTTTTTCTCTTAGTTGGTTTTGATCGGAAAGAAGTGGAAACAGAAGAACACAGGAGTGGTTTATGTGGAAATTTGGAGTTGAGGCGTGCTGGTGGCGCGAGGAAGGAGAAGGTGGAGGAGACTGTGGGGCGTTGCCCACTCGCCATTGGTAAAACAAAATCTTTCTAGTGAATGTTGTTGTTGAGGTTTTGGAAGGGACATTTTGAGAAGACACTATGCTGACGTCACGTGATGTCATTTTTAAATATAAAATAAAAAATTAATTTTTAATTAATTATAAGATACATATTATATAATTAATTTTTAAAATTATAACCTGCATAAACACTTGGTAATTAGTAAAAAAGGCCTTTGAAATAATTATTTAAAAGCAAAGGGGTTTCGAATAAAACCCTTGAAGCGAGAATAAAAGGCTGAGGAGAGTATGTGACTGCTGTGAGGTTTTCAGTTCAATTTATCCACACACAAATTTTCCCTCTCGCTTTCTCTATCCTTTTCCTCTTCAAAATGGACTCTCTCTCCAAATGAAACAAAGCGCTGAAAAGAAAACATGTCATTCTTTAAATCATTTGCTGCAAATTCCTCTATATTCTCTCCCAAGGAAGCCACCATGGCCATGATGCAATCCTCTCCTTATATAGTGCGTATCTACACTCACTCCCATGTAATGTATATTCGCAATTTTTTCTTTCCTTCACTTTCTAGTGAAACATACAAAATTGTTTGATGCGATCAACTATTTCAACTGGACTGCATGTCCAAGACTTCTTCTATCAATTGCTTTTTCTTCATCCGAACACAAAAAATTCAGTGTTGCTTATTTTTTGGAGGCTTGTATTTACTGCCAAAATTTTGCAGAATGTTGGCGATGATATGAGTTTCATCTATAATTTTGTTGAAGAGTTTTTTTATCTATATACGTTCCCGTTATTTTGCAAATTGATTTTGGTGTTTGGTGAGTTTTGATGTAGTTTCTGTCTCGCACATCAATTGCTTGATCAAATATCTTAGAGGAGATGTGGCCTGTCTGTTGTTATATTTATGTTTATTTGTGTTTGTGATGTATTTCTGCAGGTTTTGTCGCGAAGAACTTGCTCATCTTTTAGAAGTTCTTCAGTGAAAGTCTTTGCTTTCTTAAACATTACAAACTATTCAACGAACACTGGCGGTGAGTTTTTGTCTTCTTCAAAGCGAAGATCTCGAGGGCCTGTTATGGCAGCTAAAAAGTCAGCTGGAGGTCTGCGTTTGGACTATTCCTCTTCCATTTGTTTGCATGAAGGATAATGATCACTTCCTTCAAAATGTGGCTGCAGTGTGGTTTCGTTTTGCATCAGCTTTTATTTCCTTCTCTAAAGTATGTACATACAATTGCTTCTATAAACTTCTTGAAAAGCTTTTTGTTCAGGGGAAAAGCAAGAGGAGGGAAAGTACAAGCATACTGTTAATTTGCCGAAGACGACATTTGGCATGAGAGCAAATGCTTTGGTGAGGGAACCTGAAATTCAGAAAATGTGGGATGATAATCAGGTGTTTAAGAGAATAGTTGAAAAAAATGACGGGGTTAGTTTCTTGGCTATCTTAGCTCCTTTTTCGTACTCAAACTTGTTAGCTTACCTTCAGTTACCTGGTTAGGGGAATTTTGTTCTTCATGATGGCCCACCTTATGCCAATGGTGATTTGCACATGGGTCATGCTCTAAATAAGATATTGAAGGATATTATTAATCGTTATAAGGTACATTTCTTTTCATATTTTAGAAACCTTTGATCTTCTTACTTCTTATATTTACATTTATCATTATGTGGATAGATTAGTTGTGAAAAAAAAGGTCAATTTTGATACTGCTTTTTTCTTAAATTCATTGAAGTTGTATGTGTACGCATGCTCGTTTATAGCTTGCTTATGCACGAGTGCTTGCAAGAGGAAAGAAAATTAATTAAGATTATAGTCACTTTAAATTCTATATAGGATTTTCATGGGAATAGTAGTTGTTGCACCATGTCAGCTGTTGTGTTTTGTTCTCATGCTGCAACCAGGCTAAAAGGCACCTGATTTAATCCTAAGGACAGTAAACCACCTCCCATTGATGAGTCTAATATAATAACGACCAATAATTGAGGCATGAGCAGTATGTCCTCGTGGAAAGTAAATTTTCTAAATTTATAGTGGCCAAAAAATTTTATAAATTTATTTAAAAAAGTTTGTAACTCTGGAACATCTTGCTGAACTCCATTTAGACAGCTTTTTTTTTTTTGGTTAAAAGTGCCTAAAGGTTGCTCATCTGTGCGTTTTAATTTTAAAATTTGGAAAGCGGCTCATAATATAACAAGTTTAAATGTGCAGAGCTTATGAGTAAAACACCTGCTGAACTTTGTTCATTACAGTTTTGCATATTTCTATGTAACATTACTGAAGTGATTCAATTCACTTTTTTAAAAAACCACTAAAATGGAATTGTTGGTCATTAGTGCATAGATATATCAAGGTGCTTTAGTGTCCATCATATACAGTGCATCTTTACAGTGCTCAAGGATTCTAAATTTTATTGAAGTCGAGTAAAATATACTTATTGGTTCATATATTCTTTCTTCTTATTTGGCAGCTACTTCAAAATTATAAAGTTCATTATGTTCCTGGATGGGATTGTCATGGACTGCCAATTGAATTGAAAGGTAATGTTATTGATCCCTCTATCCTCTTTTATTTGTCGTTAAGAGCCTGTCCACATCGCATTCTACTTTATTTAGGAAAATGTCAGTATGACCTTTAATCCATTTTTATCTGGAACATAGCATGATAAGAATGTAAATCAGCAAGTTGATTGAAATTTACCAAGGAAAATAAATTATTATGATGAACAGTTTTGTTGTTGATAGCTGTCGTAATTATGAGGCCTTGTCTGAACAAATTCAAGCTAATTTGATCCGTCATCTTGAATTATTTCAGTCCTCCAGTCCTTGGATGCTGATGTCAGAAAGGATCTAACACCAATAAAATTAAGAGCAAAGGCCGCGAAATTCGCCAAAGCAACTGTCAAAACTCAGATGACATCATTTAAGGTGATATACCAGTCTACTCACATATTTTTAGTTAATTGAAT